GGGGAGGGGGAGGTGTGGGGGTGTGTATGGGAGGGGGTGGCCAGCCGCAGGGGGCACACCGGTGGTGAGTAGGGGCCGCACTCACCCGAAGGCCTCCCGTGTCCTCCACTGGCTTCACAGTGTACGGCCCCGGGGCCACCGGAGCATGAGCAGCAGCGCCGTGGCGCACCAGGCTGTGGAGCATCTGACACCGCAGCTGCCAGCATCTTCTTGCGGGGCTGAGGGGACAGGCTTGCCCCATCACACCCCTCCTCCTCCAGCAGCCTCTAGCCGGCCAGTCTGCCCTGCATTAGGGTGTGCCCAGGCACACCCGGCATACCCTGTGCGCACACCTATCTGCTCCTGTCTCCTTGCTGGTCAGCAGTTGAGCCAGGGTCCTTTCTTTTATCCTATCTCCAGGCCTGGAATTGGCTTCCGGTAAAGTGGGGTAGGGCTAACTGGACAAAAAAAGCTTTGTTTAGCTCCTGCACTGCCTGGCCCTCCTCTCACTCCTCTCATTCATTTTTAGCTGTCACAATTTTTCCTGCACTTGCTGACTGCCCAGTTTACATGCAGCACATAACTGCTGCAATGTGCTTGCAACGTTCCAAATACAAATACAAGTCCCAAATCTTCTGCATCCATTACAACAAATATTAATTCAGGTTCTGTTCCCATGCCACCTTCAATGTATTTGATATGATAAAAATAATTTCATTTAAAATCTGAATCATGTACTTGTATCTGAATAAATGGGTGCACCCAAGTCAGTCTGACTCAATGTCCTATGCCCTAGTCAAATTTTAAATTTCTGAAACCAGTGGCTTAAATAGTCAAACAAAAAATAAGTCACTTATTTTTCAACAAATTGAGAAACAAGCACCTGCAGAGTACCTGAGAAAGGATCAGTTGTCCGTGAAACTTCTGCACAAACTTTCTTAAAAATTCTAAATATGTTGTGTCTCCAATTCTCCTGGCTAGAAACCGCAGAAGGAAATAGCCCTAGAAGAAATCAGTACCAAAAGGCAAAGATGATGCTATTAATTAATGATACACAAAAATAAGTATTTACAAAATGTATTAAAATCAGTTTCAGTTAGGTCAGTATCATACAGTTACCTTCAAATAATGAACCTGCATGAAGATTTTTTCTGCATTAAGACCATGTTTGATTGTACATGTTCCAGACTCACTCAGTTCTCCTGTGTTCTCTTTGTTTGGCCTAAAAGAATTGTAAATCAATTACACTTCTGACATGAGAGTAAAGAATTAATGCATTAGAAATGTTCATAGTCCAAAATGATAATAGGGTGAGATCTTCAGACACTGCTCACTAGTGCATTAGTCTCCATTCTACTCTGAATCTGAATTTGTGCTACAGAGCTCAGCAGTTCTCGGGAGTGGAGGAGGTCTGCAGCCCATTTTTGAACTGCAAATCATTTCATGGGGTCCACCAAACAGGGCTGCTTAGAGCCTGGGGCCTCAAATTTGAAGTCCTGGTGCCCATGGAGCTGAAGCTCAGGACTCAGGCACCTCTCAGGCTGAAACCCCACACCCAGGCACCCCATGGAACTGAAGCCCTGAGCTCTGCTGTGCTGACCCCTGGCAGAGGCTGAAGCCCCAAGCCAAGCCCGCACCCCAAAGTGCTAAAGCTCCAAGACCCTGCTCTGCAGGGCAAACCCCTTAGGGCATCCCATCCCACGGGGCTCCTAAGTCCCCCTCTCCCAGCCCTGCAGGACAGAAGCTCCGCTTTGAGGCTGGAGCCTCCCTCCCCCGCCCAAACTATGGAGTTTTTCATGCATATTGAGGGTCTTTCAATGAAAAGGGCTGTGATTCCCTGAATAGTTTAGCTAATGTGAAAAGAAGTAGAAATAACAAGAAATGTATCAGGCTAATGCAATTTTGTATGTGGTTGAACAATCAGCTGAAGTTAAACTGAAAGCTGGTAGACATGACATCATATTGTATGGCATTTCATAGAGATACTACGTAGACAGCAGAGTTACATTATGAACAAAGGCAGACAAAAAGGCAGAGATATTTAAGATGGGGGTATGTGAGCAAGAAGAATATTGAACTCATTATACTCATCTGCATATTTCACTTTCCATACCTCAACACAGCTTAACAGATCACAAGATTACACCTGCAAGAATGAACAGCCTTTTTCATCTACACTGCAGAAAAGGATAAGCTTTCCATTCTTCTTTTTAGTTTACCATTTTGTTTGCATGTCTGTGAAAGAAAAGAGCCTGCCACACAGGGCCTTGGGGATTCTCAGGCAGGCAGACAGACAGTAATAGCCAGAACAAATTCAAACTATGTTAACTCTTGAGTACTGGGTAGTCAGTCTGCCAAGCCTCAACAGGCATGACAGAACCCTACACTAGTTATTAGTGCCTAGGAGTCCTATAAGTTGAATCACAGAGAAGAAAAACTAAAGATAAAGTATGCAAATGTTTCCCCTTCTCTGTAAATGGAGTCTTTCATATCACAGCCATAGTACTAAAAAGCCTCACTAATTGTTCCTCTTCAAACTTCTTTCCAACCGGTCCCACACTGAGGCACTCGGTGGCCAAGGAAGACTAGACAGCACTTCTTTAGGAGTCTATCAACATGACTGAAAAAAATTCTAGAGACTTTAAATATAGTTTTAGTACTAATGAAAGATGGCAGATAAGCAGTTCTAGAAACATAAGCCTTATTGTTTCCCCTCTACAAAATAGGGACAGCACAGTCAGTTGCAGTCCAGGCTTCCTTTTAAACACCATTAATATGTCTCTAAGGATATGTATACACAGAAACATTATTTCAAAATAACTATTGCAGTGTTTCTTAACAACCGGTGTTTCATGAACAAGTCTCAGGTGTGCCACGACCTCTTCTTTGTTTTTGTTACTTCTTTGTTTTTGTCTTTTTTTGTCTGACAACAATTTTTTTTTGAAGAAAATTTTCATAGGTGTTCTGCATAAAAAAATAAATTATTGTTTGGTGTTCCGTGTTCTCAAAAAGTTTAACACTGAACTAGCGTTATTTTGAAATAACTTAGTTTGCATCTACACAGCAGGCAGTTATTTTGAAATAATGTCGAAATTTCTTCAAGCTGGAAGACATCCTACTCTGAATCCTGTAACCCTCATTGTACAAAGAGTAAAGGAAGACAGAGGAAGAGTGCTCTATTTCGAAATAAGTGCTGTGTAGACCAGTGTTTCTTAAACTTTTTGAGACCATGGAACACCCAACAATAATATTTTTTTATACGGAACACCTATGAAAATGTTCTTCAAAAAAAGACAAAAACAAAGAAGTAACAAAAACAAAGAAGAGATGGTGGCACACCTACGAGTTGTTCATGGAACACCAGTGTTCCGCGAAACATAGTTTAAGAAAGAATGGTGTAGATCAGGCATGTCCAAAGTCCGGCCCGCGGGCCAATTGCGGCCCGTGTTCCGGTGTAATACGGCCCCACGGGTAATTTGGCAATATCTATCTTTTATGGCCCCCAATGAATCCATATGTATTGAGATGAATACATTGTAAAATCTCAGTTAAAGTCAGTTGGTCTAAATCAGTTATAAATATATTTGGACACAACATGTATACTTGGTGTTATGTTCCTGTTCATATTTTTTGAACTTAAAAGTTGACAGACAACCTTTATTACCAATAATATGTAATGTACTTTACAATGTTCCTGACATATATTTCAGCTTCCTGGATTTTTTTTTTCATCTGGCCTTCAGATATGAAAGGCAGAGTGATTTAACACCTGTTTAGATTTGTCATCCATGTGACGAAATGAAAAGTATGCCGTTTGCAATAAACTTTGCATAAAATAGTTAATTTGCATTTAATTTTAATGGTTCAAAGAATGTTAGGCAAAATGGTCGGCCCTCACGCATGTTAACTTCATCAAATCTGGCCCTCTTTGAAAAAAGTTTGGACACCCCTGGTGTAGATGCTCCCAATTTCGAAATAAGCTACGCAATTGATGTAGCTCAATTTCTGTAGCTTATTTCAAGTTAAGCCCTGCTGTGTAGACACCCTTAGAGTTAAGCTGGGCTTAACTCAAAATAAGTTATGCAAATTGATTAACTGGCATTTTCTAATGAAATCCCATTTCATTAGAAAATTCCTGAGTGTTACAAGGATCAATTCTCAGTCTAGTCTTACTCAACATCTGCAAACAGCCACTAAATGAACTGGTCAGATGACCATGGACTCAAGTTGTAAATGACATACCACTCTACCCATCCTTTCCCACATACAATATCACCACGATAAACAAATGCCTGGATGAAGAGCAGTCAGCTGGGGCTGAAGCTGAGCGAGACAGAGGTGGTGGTGGTGGACAGAAGAAAGCATTCTAAAGCATTTACAGCCAAGAATTTATATGCAGTCTTCCTTTGGTTGAAGGTACACACCCAAAATTGGTCAATTCAGTCTGTAGCTTAAGGAATGACCCAGGAACTTTCACTGATGCTAAGCTCTCACATAGATGCATCACAAGTAAGGATGCAATTCTGTCACAGAAGTTATCGATTCCATGATTTCTAAGACTTATGCGATTTCTGGATAAAAGCGGGAGTGGGGCTGGATTAGGTCAGGCCCACCAGAACAGCAGATCAGCAGTCAACCCCAGGGCCACCGGAACAGTGCCTCAAGGCCTGCCAGGACAGCAGATGGGGTTGAGTCTACGCTCCCTGGGGCTGGAGCAGCAGTGGTCTGCCTCTACCTTAGGAGCAGTGAGATTGGAGCAGCTGCAAGTCCTCAGAAATGTTTTATTGGTTCCTCCCTGCTTCCCACTTCCAGGCTTTTAGTAAAAGCAAGGAACTGGCCCCAGGCTTCCATGAATATTTGTTTACTGCCCAGGATCTGTCCCTGACTTTTACTAAAAATATCCAGAATATTACCCTTAAACATGAGTAACACTTTATCTTCTTTGGCGAGGACAGTGGTTCTCAACCAGGGATACATGTACCTCTGGGGGCATGCAGAGATCTTCCAGACTGAATACATCAACTCCTCAAGATATGTGCCTAGTTTTACAATAGGCTACATAAAAAGCACTAGCAAAGTCAGTACAAACTAAATTTTTATGAAGATAATGACCTCTTCATACAGCTCTATATACTATACACTGAAATAGCAGCTCACAGAGGATAGCCAAACAGAAGGCATTTGCCTGGAAGTTTGCCTGAGGGGCGTTCCAACAGAGATTTTGCCTTTCAGACTTCTGGGAGTAGAAAATATATGTGAAGGATGACAATATGGATAGTGACTGTTCAACTGTTGTGACCTGCAAAGGATGTGCCATGTTTGTCTTTCTCCCAGAGAACAGAAGTGACTTCGTCTATACAAAGTATAAGCAGGTCTCCATATTGGAAGAGAAGGTTAAAGGACAGGCGCCCAAGTATCTCCTCTGCATTGTATGCCAGGGCCACAAGGAGCAGCTCCCAAACAGGGGCAGACCCCAGAGAGCTGCCCCTATTTTGATTCCCTGGACCACATCCTGGGGTGCGGGATGGTCCATGCCCCCCAGGTGGTGGTCAACCCTGGGGCAAAGGGCCTTGAGCAGGGCATGGAGGAGGAGGAGGAGGAGGGCCAGGAGCTCGGAGGTAGTGTGCCGCACAGCTAGGACCCCCAAGCTATTCCAGCGAGCCTGTCGCCAGTGTCGTCCAAGGCTGGGGAGGCAACAACATGTGAGTGCCATAATTGTCCCCTTATGTGGGGGAAGGAAGGGAGGAATACCAGGGACTGCATGCGTGTGCCTTGCTGACCACGGATCACACAGCAACCTGTGCATGTGCCATGTCACCCCTGGGCACATGGCCCCAGCTGGCTGCCACACAGGGGCCTTGGCCTGTTACCCACATGCATGTATGTATGAAGGCACATGACGTGCTCCTGACCCCGGGATGGGACACAGCTTCCTCCACAAGCCCCCTCTACACAGAGGCAGGGGACATCTCCCTCCCCACACACACACAGACCCACACCACATACAGCACAGGGGCATGGGTGCACTCCCGGGCCAGATCCCACTCCAAGGGATAGCAGGACATCCCGAACATGGCTTCTGTGCTAGCACATTGGCACTGATGGTGTGGAGACTTGTCATCCTCGCCTTGCAGATGGGGGCTGGGCTTCACCCACTGTGTCCCCAGGGATAACTGCCCACTTCTCTTGTTCATCCACAGACGCACCAGCTGAGAGTGCAGG